ACTCAGGCCTACTGCAAAGGAAAGAATAGATCTGCTTAAAATAATGTCAGTTGGTGGAAAAATCTATACAAATTGTGAAGTCTGTGTATTATCTTCCTTAAAACCAAAAGGAAATGAATGCCTTTATGAGTGACAAGAGAAAAAAGCAGAGGTGGCTTCACTCATAATTCTTCCATCAGAGGTAACAGACAATACAGCGAGAATCATAGCATTATAGGATATGTAAAAATAAATGTGAAGTAAATGGCAAACAGAACCCATAGCCATTTTAGCAAAAATGCAAAACGTACATGTTATGAAAAATGTTTCTGAATGGAACTGTTCTGCTTTCCAATAAAATATGTTGCTCGGTGGTTTGCATGTTAATGAGAAATAATCCGCTAAAATAATTTTTGGATGACGTTAACACCATATATTCAAGGAAAACATGAATCAACTTTCTGACGTGTGCACAAACATATCAAGGTACATAACACTTAGGAAAAACTGTTGAAAAGTGCTGTCTGGGATTAAGCAACTGCTTATTTTGTGGTTAATAATTAAAGAATGTGGAAATGGAAACGACGATCATCACAGAAAGAGGCATGATGCTCTATCTCCCATTGTGAGAGATTTTGGAGCAACTAACTAAGCAAAACATTTGTTCTATAACCAAACACATAATGGCACTGTCATCCCCTGGGACCTTTACAGCATATCCTGAACTAAGCAATCATCATGGTGCATTTGGCTACAGAGTCCTTTGGTCTGTATTTTTCCTGATTGTAAGGGATATTTTGTTAAATATTCTCCTTTTTGATAAAATGACAGTGAGCCCAGAGTTCTGGTAAGGGATTCACTAGCACTTTCCTTGAGGAAATGCTTCTAGCACACCCAGTTATTATGCAATCATACACACAAACCTTTCTCTCACTTGCGACATGATGATGGTAGCAAACCAAACTGTAATGGAGCAGATGCTCTCAAAGTCATGGTGCTCATTAAGCGGGGAGTCAGTGAAATTTGCATTATCAGACATGATGAAAGATCTTGGATTGAATTGTAAAGTAGAATTAAAATTCAGTGGGATTTCTCCTCAGCTATGAAGTAAATATTTTACATATATGAAACAGAATACAGTCTAAGCTGAACTTCAGAGGTCGTTTTAAGCACATATGTGCATTCCGTTTGGAAAAGAAAAAATTAAATTAACCCATTTTTGTATTTTTAGTCAAACCTAAGATGATTGTAAAACAGTCAAACTTAAGCTTGCTGCCAGGAAGGTCACTGTACCCCAACATATGTCTGCATCCTAGCAAAAATAACACAACTTCTTTCTTTACTACAACCTTTCAACTGAGCAGGTATGCAGACTATCTTGTCTCCTACAGGACAGTCTGGTTGAAAATGAGATAATTTCTGATGAATTCCATATTGTTTTCCCAACACAATACTAAACAGACAGCAAGACAGAGACTGACAACTTGTCACAGAGTAAATTTATTCTTGTCTATCTTGGGTGACATTTTTCTGTGTTGTAAGTTGCATAAAGCAAAACAAGGAAAGGAGGAATCTAGAATAATTTGATGTTGATAATATCTGTAAAATTGTTCTTTAGGAAGGGAGCTGAAAATAAATGTAGTAGTGCATATGGGAAGAAATGAGACTTGCAGATTACTGTGAGACAGAATTTGCTGGCTGGGAGAAGAATGTCTCTTGCCCATTAGCCTCCAATTACTGAGCAGGTTTACCCAGGAGCCTGAAGAGTAAATGTGGCCAGGTATTCATTTTCACAGGGCTTCAGACCATAGCTCAATTTTTTACTTTACAATAAGGTGTCCTCTAGCCAGAAATCTCTAGATCAGGACTTCTTAAACATTTTCCCACTAGCAACCTCTTTCCACCTGAGAATTTTTTCTGTGGCCTTGGATACATAGGCATATAAAATAGGTATAAAATCAAACATTTACTGGTAATAAATCAGCATGCTGCAAGGCTTGCTAAACACACGGATTTCCCTTTTTGTTAACTCAGCTCAAACATTTTCTGCAGAGTCCACTATAAACATTGCATGTTGTTCCCAACAAATCTGTGTAAATGGGTGGCCTTCAGTTGCCATTTTTTTTTTGTGATCTCAACACTGAGCTAAGAGGACTCATATGGGGTCAGGACCCACAATTTAAGAAGCAGTGCTCTAGGGCCCCTTCCACACAGCTGAATAAAACCCCACATTATCGGTTTTGAAGTGGAATATATAGCACTGTGGACTCAGATAACTCAGTTCAAAACAGATATTGTGGAATTTTCTGCCATGATATTCTGGGTTACATGGCTGTGTGGAAGGGCCCTAGACCACTAGCTGAAGTCCTGAAGTCCAACACATGATAGCATCACTTATACAATTACCACATCTGGTCTCAGTATTTGATCACAGTATTTGATCACAAACTTGATTTGGGGTTATTTGTGCTTATTTCCTGCATAGCTTTAATAGCTGTGTAGAGATTTTCAGGAAGCTCCTTTCTTCACAGCAAATGGCCTGGATAAGTCACTATTGCACACTTGACACTTTTGACAGAATACCTTTTCAGTCTACAAAGGCAAAGAGCATGGGCTGGAGAAGGGAAAAGTGGTGAGTTTTTCCACGCGTTGTTAAACAAACCACCATCATCCTTCATCTCACGCTATGCTGTTGACCAGAGACCACTTGATCAGGGACCACTTTGACCAGAGACCACTCTCCAACATTAGTACCAAAAAGGTTGCAAATCAGTTTTTGGTTAACTTGAGATTCGGTTTGATTATTTGGGGTTCTGATTCAGAAAATTGCATTAGATAGACCACATCAACTCTAGTTTCTGATACAGAACATAAGCCATCTGGTAGTCACCATCTGCTCGCCCACAGAAAACCATATTTAATAAGCCTTGGCATTATAAGAGGGTTTTGCGAGACCACTCACTCTCGTTGCAACAGTGTAGTAATGGTGAGATCACAGACAAAATTTTAGTTCTTGCGGACCACAGATTGGGATTGTATAGGATTCCTTGTAATTGCTATTCAACATCCAGAAGGCCACAGTCCTATTTCCTTTTGGCTAGCAAAGCAGTGCTTCATTCAATATGAATGTGACAAATATAAAGCTGCCATGTCTATCATATCAACTGCCAAATGAATAGCTTGCACATTCTCTTTAAAGGCAATCCAGTTTCTCACTTGAGGCCAATCTCCTCATGCCCATTCATGCTTTTTCCAGAAATCACTCTTGACACATGACTGTAGGGTTGGTACAGGATGTGCAGAAGAAAGATGCTTCAAGCAGAAAGTGTGACAATTTGCCATGCTGGAAAAGCAGTAATTATTATTATGCTTCTTGGCTCTTTTTTCTAGGAAAAGCCTTGCAACAGTTAATAATACCAACATCTAAAATGGACATTCATTCTTCTGAACTAAAGTAAGAGCAATATAGGCAGTTCCTGAGTTACAAACATAGGACTTACAAATGACTCAAACAGGAGTGAGACAACAGGAAGTGAGAGAAATCTACCCCTCAGAAGGGAATTTCACTCCTGAAAGGGTAATCATGGGGAAAAAGTGTCTCCACTAAAGCTTTATCACCAATCCTTGTTTCCACAACAAGCCACATTTTTCAAAATCCAATTATGATAGGAACAAAACGTGAAATCTTCTGAACCTGGGCACAGACAGCAAAACAAACACCACAGGGGTGTTAACCCTTCCCTATGCTATCTAAAGCTAAAGTATATACATTTTGGCTGGAGTTATACTTACAAAATGTAACTGTTACAATTTACATACAAATTCAATTTAAAAACTAATAATAATAACAACAACAAAACATTTATACCCCAACAACAACAACAACAACAACAACAACATTTATACCCCACTTTATCTCTCCTGAAGAGAACTCAAAGTGGCTTAACATAAAAGCATTAGCACACAATTTAAAAGATATAGACATTAAAACAGAATTAAATATAAATAGTATTTTAAAAATCACAAACCTGCAGAACCTATCTTGCTTGTAAGAAGGCAGAAAGGACAGAAGAGGCACACTTTGTCCTTTGGCACCTTTCACAATTTCTATACTGTTTCATGTTTTTAAAAACTCAAATTTTATAAAGCAGACAGATGTGTGTGTGTGTGTGTGAAAGAGAACAAACATACATATGCATGAATACATGTGTATTGGAAATTGGGGATGTTCTCAAAGGGAAATGTTGCTGAAAGAAACTTTAAGCCAAACCTTACACAAATACTATGTGCAAAACTGTTTCAAAATATAGAAAGAACATGTGTTCACTTGATGTTTCATAATTTGACTTTTCACTGTTTAATAAATTATACAATTTACACTGAATTAAAACAAGTGCACTTGTGTCAGCTTGTTATTGCCAGAAAAGTATTTCTAATGCTACATGGACATAAAATAATTTAGGAACATTTGGTTCAAGATCAACCTGAGAAGTATATAACCACCTATACATTTGGCTCACTACATGCTTACGTAATCTATTAGCAATAATATAAAAATCCTAGAGGTTTACAGAGCTGCAAATATGTCATGCACACTCCTATTGCAAAGAACATAAGCAAGCACTATGGTTTTTATTTGTTTTGTCATGAGAAAGTATGAAGTACAAAACACAAGTAGGCTTATCTTCAAAATAGAAAGAAGAAAGAGGAACCAAATAAATTGAAAATAAAATAGAGACAATAAAATACATATTAAATAAAACCCTGAAGGGATAAGATCCTGCCTGATCTTAGAAGCTAACCAGGAGCAGCTCTGGTTAGTATTTTGATGGGAGGCTGCCAATGTGCTGTAGGCTGTATTTCAGAATAAGGAAGGAACTGGCAAAACTACCTTTGAAGCATTTTGAAGCACACACACACACAGAGTAATTCCATTTCTCAACCAGTCTAGAACAACACATACACAGAAAAGTTGTTACAAGAAATATGCTTAATGTCACATCTCAAAATTAGGCATATACCTTTGTTGCAAGTTGTGAAACTGAGGATGAAACTTCATCATGAAGACATGGATCCTTGGTCTTAGTTTTAAGAAGTGAAAAGAAAAAAACATAACTGTGGTTAATTTTAGACATTTCAAGATAGCTGAAGAAACTTTGTGATAACAACCAGATATTTATATGAATAGATGTTAGTTAATGTTATATGAATAGATGTTAGCAGTGCCCACAATGAACTTTGACTGTATCTACACCGAAATCCCTGTTGTTCTGTTCAAACCACTATATGAGACAGTGAAGGGATTGTAGGAGACAGCTTTCTCTTGGATACGTGGATTGAAAATCAGACCCATCTGATTTCCCCCCATCATTAATCCTACTGCACCTGCCTAGAATAAGAGAGAAGCAATTGGTGTAGGAAATAAAATGGTGTAAGAAATAAAATGGTGTAGGAAATAACATTTGTGGTATACACCAACCTAATGCGTACCACGAATTATCATTCTAAGAAAGCTAAATGAACAATCTATAACCACAGGGTTAATCACTTGTGCCAGCTGACTAACGCAAGAGATCAAAATTCTATATGATTTTATCCCTTGCTCCCTTCTTTCACTCTTTCAGTTTTGTTAGATATCCTTACAAGATGCAAACATTAAAGCAACTCAGAATTAAGTTAAAATGTTAGAAAGTGACAAATCTTCCCTTCCATTTTTTAAAAAATACAGCCATGAGGGGAGATAAATTGTTCTTTCAGCCTTCCTAGAATGGTCATCGTTTATGGTAAGGATGGCTAAAGAAGCAATCCACAAACAACCAATCTGTGTCCCTTTGGCTGCTCAAGTCTTACACAATACCTGCCAGTTATTTCATCCAAAGATGGTGGGAACTGACATATATTTATCTACTTTGTAATGCCTTATACAGTTGATGGCTGTTTATCCAGCTACTTTGCATATGTGTTCAAAGCTGTCTGCTGTTGCAGTCGCCACTTATTTAGTTGAATGTTGTGTCAATAGAGATTTTCACAACATTTCTTATATCCAAAGAATGCCATTTTTAATTAATGTGTCAGGTTCCAATGATCCATCTATTTTGAAATCTTAAACAGATTTTGGAAGAAATGATGGATCAATGTTCGAGGATAATTTATCTTTATTAAAATGGCCTAGGTTTAGATTAGTTGACAACAATACTATTTCTGACACTTGCCCTGCTGGAGAAATGACCACTAGAATTGACATCTTAAAAGTCATTAATCTTAGTCATTAATCTTTTTTTTTCCAATTGAGGCCTTTTTAAAACAATTCAGTACTAAACTGAAATCCCATGATGGAAATTTCTGAATGTCAGAAGGTGCTTGCAAAGTTGCTGTCCTCAAAAAACATTTAATATGAGGATATGCTTCCCTCCTATTGATAACACCGAAGACAAAGAAGCTTCTGTCTGTTATGTTTTGATCACTTCTCAATTCCTCTAGGCAAAAAGGATAAGACACTACTTATCTGCACCTCTTCAATTAATAATGAATTTCATTCACATCACCTTTGGAAAGCCCTTCCAAGTGGTTTCAGATAGATAGGTAGGTAGATAGATAAAATCAACTAGAAGTCAAATGGTGTTCAGAATTGGCTTTGTATATATCCCATTATTTAGAGACTACTGCTCACCCTCCACATGGTTAATCTTTAATAATGAGTTTGGATGATTTGCTGGATCTTGAGTTAATAGAACCAGTTCCAAAGAAAACAGTATGGCCTCTCCACTGACAGATTCAGCAGAAGATGATGCTATGATCTGGATGGCCCATGTGGTGGGGCAATTAACACTATCTCTGCACTATCTCTGTCATTTTCATTACAATCCTTGATAGTGGAATGCAAGCATATATAGAGGACCCTTTGGCCAATCCAACACCAGTGTGTCGTGTTCTCAAAGGCCCCTTCTATACTGCCATACAAAATCTAGATAATCTATGTTGAACTGGCAGCATAGAATGGGCCTAAGTTGTTGAACACTTCCTAGTTAAAACTCCTTTCCTGTGGATGATCCCTTTCAGGCAAATACTTGTTGTCATATTTGAGTACCCTTGGATAATACTGCTATTAAAGAATTCAACCAGTTCTCAACCCAAAAACGTATTCTGGGTGACTCTTTCATCAGGTATGATCTCATTCTACCTTGGTTGCCAAGGATCACTTTGAAAGTGATGTTGTCTGCATATTCCTGCCTCTTGTATTTTATTTTACTTGCAAACCTGACTGCTCAGACATTTAATAAATGAATACTTGGTCCCTTTTCTGACTTTGGCCATTCTCCTTGAATAAATTTATTTTGACTATTGACTCCTCCTCAGTGTAAAAAATGTATTGTGATTGTTACTTTTTATTGTGAAGAAAGCAGTGTCACCTGCTCGAAATTGCTTCATTTGATCCACCAAAACAACTATCTCTTACTTGCTTCAGTAACAATAGATATATCTTTCCCTTTTTATATGGTGTTGATAAGGCTTCCTGAAAACTTGTAATGTCCTTGTGTAAAATCTTACTCATGAGACTGAGTTGTTGAAGCTAAAATTCAGTACCATGGTGAAATGCCTTAAATACACAACACCTTCTCCTTCCCTGCCTTATTTATTTATGTGCCTCAAACTACCAAACTCATCATCTAGCAATGTCACTAATACCAAATTGACTATAATCAAGTAAGGCAAGAAATAGTATTGTTGTCATTAGCATTGGACATTTGACCATGATGTCAGCAAGACTTCCAAAACCAACCTATCTTGTAGACAGAGAACTAGCTCACTAAAATCTATCCTTAAAGGAACTATCGAGAATGTCTTGTTATGTCTTGAGGAATTACATGTGTATTGTGTCATAATAAGGATTTATCACATTAAAGGATAGAAGGGTCATTATAGTATGGAAAAGGTAAATGTGTTTAATCAAGAATATCACATTACAACTAATGGACACCTTGCTAAGTGATTTCAGTACCAATGACATTTTGGGTAATCACCCAGAGAACATATCTTCCCCAGGGCTTCTCAGGCCCCTTCTACACTGCCATGTAATCCAAATTATCAAATCAGATAATCCATATTATCTACTTTGAACTGGATTACGGTATATGATTCTACACTGCCATATAACCCAGTTCAAAGCAGATAATCTGGATTTTATAGGGCAGTGTAGAAGGGGCCATAGAGCACCCTTGTGAAGTCAGTTTGGTTGCAAAGTGAACTCACAGTATCACAAATAAAACTGATAATGAAAGCCTTTTCCCTTAACTATGCTGATTAAAGGGAAGATCTAGTGAAGGAACTGCAAGTCCCATCGTCCATGGTGCATCATCCTCCAAACCACACCAGGATGTAGAGTGCATCATGGAGACCCTCACAGGCACGTTTGGCGGGGACGAGAGAGCGGGCCTTCTCGGTGGTGGCCCCCCGGCTTTGGAACTCCCTCCCTGCTGAAGTTAGACAGGCGCCCTCCCTTATGGCCTTTCGTAAGGGCCTGAAAACATGGCTCTTCGAGATGGCCTTCAACTGAGTGCTATGTTATTGGAAATGACGACCGGAATGGACTACGACTATGAGATTGATTATGACCCCATGATACGACGAAGCGGATTTTTAGTATAAGTAGTTGTTATGTAGTAGTAGAATGTTGTTACTGTCTTGATCTATTGTAAACCGTCTTTTTTATGTTGTTGTACACCGCCACGAGTCGCCCTAGGGCTGAGAGTGGCGGTTAATAAGTGCAAGAAATAAATAAATAAATAAATAAATAGTAAAGCATTTCCAACAGAAAGCCAATCCTAGTGCATATGGTTTAACAAATGCTGCCTACTATTTCCAAGAATCCATATCTATATCTATATCTATATCTATATCTATATCTATGTATATAATAAAGGTGAAAGTTTGTATGCGGCGGACAAAAGTGTGGCGGTGCGACGGGAGGAGTATGTGCCAGCGTTTTGATTGGCCAGCCTGAAAGTTCCAACATTCTGATTGGCTGCCGCAGTGGTGCTATTTGCATATGGTCTCTGATTGGCCAGCTTCAATAGGAGCCCCTGGTGGAGAAGAGGGTTCATGACAGAAACGGGGACATGAGAAGGAAATTTGCATATGGTCTCTGATTGGCCAGCCTCAATTCCAAGATTCCGAGATGACAAAGAGAGGAAAGGAAAAGGCCAGAGGGGCTGGGTCAGACAGTTACCAATACAGACCAGACTTGGCACACAGAGCACACAAGACCCACTCGACATCCTACTGCAGTTTGGAGGAGGATGAACCATGGATGATGGGACTTGCAGTACCATCACTCACATTCTGAGACCGCTGTTAACCTCATCCAATGACTGATCAGGACCAAACTTGGCACATAGACCTCTCATGACCCACTTTACGTCCTGGTGTGGTTTGGCCGGGGATGGACCATGGATTATGGGACTTGCAGTACCTTTGCTCAATTCTTGAGACCACTGCAACCCTCATCCAATTACCGATAAAGACCAAACTTGGCACACTGAGTCTCCATGACGCACTCTACATCCTGGTGCAGTTTGGAGGAGGATGCACCATGGACGATGGGACTTGCAATACCTGCACTCCCTTCCTAAGACCATTACAACTGCCAACAATGATGGATCAGGACCACAATTTACACAGAGAGCCCGCATGACCCACTCTACATCCTGGTGCGGTTTGGAAGAATTTGACAATGGATGATGGGACTTGCAGTCACTTCACTCACTTCCTGAGACCACTGAGACCCTCGCCAATGACTGATCAAGACCAAACTTGGCACACAGAATCCCCATGACCCACTCTACATCCTGGTGCACTTTCGAGGAGGACAGACCATGGATGATGGGACTTCAAGTACCTCCACTCCCTTCCCAAGACTGCTGCAACCCTCATCTAATGACCAATCAAGACCAAACTTGGCACACAGAGCCCCCATGACCCACTCTACATCCTGCTGCTGTAGGGCATACCATGGATGATGGGACTTGAAGTACCCCTACTTGCTTTCCGAGACTGCTGCAACCCTCAACAATGACTGAACAAC